TCTTGAATACTAGCCTTCTAAAGTAGGGCAGGATCTGAACTCTTCCAGAATTCTGGAAGTATGTATGCTAAACTAATCCTCAATGGCAAATGCTAGCTAGCTGACCATTTCTCAGTATCTACCCTTTTCTCTGAATATAAGACTAGGCCCTTGCATTATCAGGGGGCACAGTATACCCAATTATAAAAATTTACAAAATAAAAGTTAGCAATGACTAACCAGGGATCACTGGACTGTTTAATGGAAATTCCTTTAAAGAGAGAAAACTCAGTTGGTAGTAGACAATACCCTTAAAAGGGTTCCTCTTTTCTGATGCCTGAAAAATGGATATCATACGCAAAGCTAAAACAATTACCACGTATTCATAAAGAGCTCCTTGAAGATCCTGAGAATGGCAGATTTGGACTTTTATGTGAGGGGACAATGTATTGTTTTAGTGATTACTGCTTTGAGTATCTGATAACAGCTCATTTATATCTTAAGTGATAAGACTTCAGAAATCCTTTTTGTATAGCAACTGTATCTGATTAATACGTAATCTAAAATTGAGATTTTTCTAGTTTTATTAGCATAGATAGATGGACTATAAAGAAAAAGTCAAAATAAACCCTTTCTTTCTGCAAGCTGGTTTAGTAATTTTTTTTTCCTCCTTCTCCTCCTCCTCCTCAGGACAGGACACCGTGACAAAAATAAACAGAAAACACTGAGCTAAATAATAGCATGTCAAATGGGACTAATAGACATCTGTAGAATATTTCATCCCAACACTGAAGAATCAATATTCTCAGTAGCCCCCAGGACTTTCTCCAAAACAGATCATACAATACAGAAATAGAATAACAGCATCGAATATAGAAATAACTTTGTATTCTACGTCATCATAATGAAATTAAAACTAGAAAGCAACAAGAACTACAGAACATATATAAATCCATGAGGGTCAAATAATAAACTTTTGAATTTTAATGAGTCACTGAAGAAATCAAGAAGTAAAAAAATACTTTTAGAATTGAAAAAACTTAAAACACAACATACTAGAATCTGTGGGACTCTATGAAAGCAGATCTAATAGGAAATTTTATAGCTAAAAGTACCTACATAAAAAAATTAAAGTGGGGCTGGAGAGATGGCTCAGCGGTTAAGAGCACTGGCTGCTCTTCCAGAGGTCCCGAGTTCAATTCCCTGCAATTACATGGTGGCTTACAACCATCTAGAAGGTCTACATTCAGACAGAACATTGTATACATAATAAATATTTAAAAAAATTAAGGTGTTCACAAATAAATAGCAGTCTACCTTAGGGCCTGGGGAAAACAAGAACAAGCTAAACTCCATTTCTTTCAGTAGACAGAAAGAAATAAGATCTGTGTAGAAAGTAATGAGATGTAAACAGAGGGAGAGAGAGAGAGAGAGAGAGAGAGAGAGAGAGAATATAAATGAAAGGAAGAGTTGGTTCCTTGAAAAGATGAAAAAGATCAATAAGTTATTAACTAAACTAACCAAAGAAAGAGAAGCGCCCATTTAATAGAATTAAAAAGCTGGAGAGCTGGCTCAGCAGTCAACAGCAATGACTGCTCTTGCAGAGAACCTGGGTTCGATTTCCAGCACCTACACATAGTTAATAACTACCTGCAATGCCAGGACCAAGGGTAGCAAGAGCATTAAGAGAAGAGGGCACTCTTCGGACCTCTGTGGGTATTTCACAAATGTGATACACAGTCATACATGCAGGTAAAACACTCATAAACATAAAAATAAATAAATCTAAAACATTAAAAAGATCAAAAGGGATTAGAAGAAATTCAGAAAATCATAAGAACATATCTTAAAAACTTGTATTCAACTAAGGTGGAAAATGTAAAATGCATAGACAAATTTTTAGAAGCATATGATCGACCCAAATTAAACCAAGATGAGAAAAACAGCTTGAACACATTTATAACGAGCAATGGGATTTGAAACAGTAATGAAACATTTCTTAGCTAAAAGCAGTCCAGCTCCAGATGGATGCGAAGTCTACCTTATATACCTTTACAGAAGAACTAACATTCATGCTTCTCAAAGTAGTCAATAAAATAGAAAATAAGGACGGATATGCATTGAACTCGTTCTACAAACCAAGTTCCCTAATACCAAAATCAGATAAAGACACAACAAAGTAGCAATTCACACAAATGGACTCAGATATTATACAATCATCTCAACAGATCCAAAGGTATTTAATAAAATCCCGAGACTAGAGCAGATGGAACATATAACAACATAAAAAGGCGATATATGACATTATACTAAATGAGAAAAACTTGAAAGTATTTTTGCTAAAACAAAAGATGATGAGAGTTTCCACTCTCCATTCTTGTTCAATAGTGTTGGAAGTCTTATCTGGAACAACAACAACAAACAGCAGCAATAGCAACAACAATAATAAAAAGATAGAAAAGGGATACACATAGGAAAATAAGTCAAAGCCTCTCACTTGTAGATAACATAATATTTTACAAAAGAGACCACGAGTCCACCAGAAAACAGTTGAATCTGCTAAACACTTTTAGCAAAATGGAAGGACCCGAAATTAACTTGCAGAAACCCAGCACCTTCTTATATACTAACGATAAATACACTGAAAAAGAAATAAGAGAAACAATTCCATTCACAACTGTTTCAAACCAGATTAAACAAAACCATATCACAAATTTTGAATAAACCAAACTAAAGAACAGCAATGGAAATTTTATCTACAATGGAAAATTTAAAATACTGGAGAAAGGAACTAAAGAAGATACTAGAAGAGAGAAAACCTCTATACTCAAGGGTTGGCAGAATATTGTGAAAATGGCTACATGGTGAGTTCTAGATCCAACTATTTTTCTTTCTTCTCTTTTTAAAAAAAATATTTCTTTTGAGATTATAATAGAATCACATCCTTCCCCCCCTTCCTTTTCCTCCCTTCTCACCCTCTCACATAATCCTCCCTGCTTTCTTTCAAATCCATAGCCTCATTTTTCATTAACTGTTGTACATATATACACATATATTCATAAATAGAACCTGCTTAACTTGTCTGCATGTTTTCAGGACTGACCATCTGGCATTGGATGACCAATTGGTTGGTGTACTCTTCACTGGGTAAGACTATTTCTCCTGCTCTTGGCATTCCTTAGCTGCCTGCAGTTCTTTGTGTAGGGTGGAGGTCTTGTGTTGTTTTCCTTGTTCAGCTTATGTATGGACAGTCATGTGAATGAGACGTTTTAGGTATAGCTAAAGACAGTCTCACTGAAAACTTCCTGATCCTTTGGCTCTTAACTATCTCTGATGACTCTTAGGGTGCAGTAGTGGCATGCATACCTTAGCAGTAACCAACAGCTCTCTAACCAGTTAGAGAGGCCCACTCAACAAGAGGGAACCTGGTACTGATAACCTAGTCAACTACCTAGAACTAGTAAAGCAGCTTTACTTCTCCACTTTACTAAACCACTATAATCCCTAATTATGTTCTAACTATTTGTCCTTAAATTCACAGATAAGTGTAGTCCTCACTTCCCCCTCATCAAAAACAAAACAAAACAAACAAAACAACTCTGCAACAGACAGATCATCACAGAAAACCACAAACAATCAAATACAGAGTTGTGGAGTCCAGTCCCAATGAGTACATCTAGACAGACTTTTAAATTTCACTATTTTCTATGTGGTCCACAATAAGGAGATCTCATAAAACTCAGTATGGAGACAACTCTAAAATAAAACTGAAAATTCTCTACCTCACAAATATATCACCTTAATTTATTTGTGAGGAAGGTAACAGAAAAGTGTCACTGACTAGAAAAAAAAAAAAAAAGATTAACTCCAAATCTCCAAGTATATATAAGAGTATCAAACATGAAAGGCAGACTCAAGTTTAAATCTAGGTCTACTACTTGTTTAACTCTGGATAAGTTTCTCAGTCTCTCTACCTCTAGTTCCTTAACTGTAAAGTGAGGATAAGAACAGCATCTGCAGCTGTACGCACAGTCCATGGAAAATGCTGGGTGCACAGGGAGCACTCAGTAAGCACTGGCAATACTAATCATGTGCTGACACAGCAGCACTATTTCTAAAACTGTGAATGCTGTGAGATATTAAGATGTGACTACGCATATACTCAATGATTTCAAAAGGATGGTATCTTTAATAATGTTAACATGAATTAAACATGCGAAGTTTACAAAGTTAGTAGTTCTATCTATTGAAATCCCTACTTTCTTTCTATTATGTGTCTTCTGCAAGTGACTATAAACCCAAGACTAATTTTAAATGCAACATACAGAAATAGTAGCAAAGAGCACAGATGCCAGAACCCAAATGCCCATGTGAAAGTACCATTTTTGTTATTTACAAACTGCATGATTTTGGAAAAGATTATTTAATATCTCTGTGCACCCAATTCTTCATGTATAAAATCAGCATAAGAACCTACTTATTACATAAGGTAATTATGGAGACTGAATAAGATAACCATATGTATCCAGTACTCAACAATTTTTAGTTATCTCTGTTAGCACTTAGAGTTGACTGAAGAAAAAGGAATTTACTATAACCAGTAGAACTTGATTTACAGAAACAGTATATCTGATTCTTAAAAACTTATATATACCCAAACTCTCCTATTTATATGCTTTTTTATACACTGGTCAACTGCTGAGCCAACATTTTGGACCTTGTCTCAATATAAGTAAGACAAAAAGAAAATCAAATTTTGTATTGGATTATTCTGTCACTGATGCAAAGGTATAAAAAGTTCAAAAGCCTTATCAAAATCCACCCAAAGCTAGGCATGGGGATTCACATCTTTAATCCTAGCACTTGGGAAACAGAGGTAGTTGGATATCTGTAATTCAAGGCCAACTTGGTTTGTATAGTGAACTCCAGACCAATTAGAGCTACATACTGTCTCAAAATGAGTAAGTAAATAATCCATTCTAGCGTTGGCTTGTCTTTGTTTTAAATAAACCATGTCCTACCTGTCATCTGCATTTCGAAGGGATGGAAGTCGAAAGCTTGTGTTTCTGTCAAGCTTCGACTGGCTTTTGGTCCTCTTGATGGAACCTTTCAGGCGCTTGCTGAAGAACCCCTAGAATGAAAAGGCAGAATGGTGGGAGAAAGAACAACTTGGGAACCTTGCTTTCTATAGGGAACTTGCAAAAGGAGTTTAGAGTGAAAAGGAAAGACTGGGCCAGAATCTAGCTTTCTTTTTTCTTTTTTTAATTTTATAAACACTAGCTATTTGAAACTTCTTGGTAATGACATGAGCTTTTTTTTCCTAATGTGAAAAACAGATAATTAAACTTGTTGGTAGAATCAATCTTAATTTTAATACTAGTTGTGGCAGATAAAAACCAAGTTTACAAATGGACTTTTAAGACAGCAATAAAACAGACAAACATACTGTGTTCTAAGACATATTATCAGTAATTTCAATAGAAATAATACCCAATAATTTCCTAATCTAAGAAAAATAGCTAACTGGAACAACATGTGCAAAGTCCCTGAAGTGGGAAGGTAACTGGTGTACAAGAGAAACTCAAGATACTGATGGAGGAGGGTAGGGGAGAGTTAACTAGGTAGTATAAGAATTGCATTGTTATTCTCCAAAGTGTTATTAAAATTTGGTCACATCACTTTGAATGGTGTTATTTATAAAATTAATTCAAATGCAGATAAACTATTAACTGAAATATAGGTCATCTATGCAATCATTAAAGTACTGAAAAGTTAAAGAAAACAGTGTTTACATGGAGTCACAACCTGTGACCTCAACCACCAGATCAAACTAGCTCAAATTTCGTAATGGACTGGGGAGGAGCTCTGAGGTCCCATCTCTAGCCGGACAATACACTCAACTGAAGGCTGCTGACTGAAGGGGAGTCGGTTTTCTTCAGGGATATGAGCTCTGGTAGGGTGCCCATGCTCCAGGGGATGACCTTATACCGTGCACAGAGCGGCAGCATTAAGTGGAGTCATTGAAAAAAGAGAAAAGAAAAGAAAAAGAAAAAAGAGTACATCAAATTGGGAAGGGAACGTGATGCTGCAGTTTTGGGGGGAGTTGGAGGGAAGGAAGTAGGGGTGGGTTTGATTGACTAAAACACATTGTTACTTATGATGAAATGCTCAGACAACACATTAAAAATGAACAAAGCACTCTATTCTGGCGACCTCTTGCCACTGCACCAAACTACAGAGAACTCATCATCTCGCAAATAATGATCATACAATAAAAAGAAATGTTGCATAAATTCAAGAATGAAGATGATCACCAGTTACAAGACATCATTCTGGAATTATCAGGCATGTCACTACACCTTGTTTTCAATCATTCCTCTCCCTTGCCCTCTTCTCTCCTTGCCAAGCACTGGCTAGCTCTCTTCCTTCTCCCATACAGCCCCCTTTGATTTCTTTTCAGATTAGTTCCTTACGCCTTTCTTTATCTCTTTGAACTTCAGTTTGAAGTTTACTTTATCAGATAACAAAAGAGCTATTCTAATTTGGTTCTGGCTGCTGCTCACTTGGCAGATTGTTTCCCATCTTCTGGTTTTCAATCTTTACCAGGAAAGCATGTTTCTTGAAGACAAACAGAATTGATCTAGTTTCTTAACCCAGCCTGTACTCCTTTATTGGTGACTGAGACTATTTACCTTTAAGGTTATTACTGAGAGAAATTCACTAATTCCTGTAGCTTTGTTTGTTGATTTCTGGTTGGAAGGGTTAATGCTTGCTTTTATTTCTTCCCTGTTAGTAACTGTGGTTTGCTCTTTTTTGATCATCCCTTAAATAAAACTGCTTTCATGCTCTTGTGATTAAGCCTCCACTCTTAGCTCTTGTGTACATAGTATTCCTTTTTCTTTGCAGTTATGGCTTGCTGATCATGAGATCACTTAGTTTCTGCCTTGCTCTTGAAATATTTATTTCTCTTTAATTAAAAAAAATAGTTTTCTGGGCACAGCAATCTTAATCAACAGATACTACTTTTCAGAGCCTAAAATGTATCACCCCATACTTGTTGGCATCTAGACTTACTGAAGACAGATCTGATATTATTGTTTCTACCTTTGTAGGTGAGTTAGTGTTTCCTCTTACATAAGGTGAATATTTTTATAACATTATGGCTTTATTCACTCATGAGAGAAAGATGAAAAGGTCCTGGGCTCAGTCTCCAGCATGAGAAATAACTAACTACACAAATTTAAAAAGAAAAATGGAAGAATGTATAAACCCCAGAAAAATAGCATAGAGATGCAATTATCTAATCTATATTTTAAATTCCAGCTTATTATAAGTAGATTTAAAGGAAGAGAAAGAAATATCTTTAAAAACTATTTCTTTAAACAGTCATTGCCTGATCTGTTATAGAGAGTTGCCATTAGTTCTCAAGATAAATGTTTTATTTACTATTTCTCACCAGAATGGTCTCCTTACCAGTGATTCTCAATCATCCTAATCCTGTAACCCTGTAGTACAATTCCTCATGTTGTAGTAACTCAACCATAGAATTATTTCGTTGCTACTTCATAACTGTAATTTGCTATACTGTTATAAATCATAATGCAAATATCTGATATGTAGAATATCTGATGCCCTTTGGGGTTGCTACCCACAGATTGAGAACCACTGTTTCGTGTGCTCAGAAATCTATTCAGCAAGAAAGACTTAATGACAGAATTTTAGATGTACTGTTAGGGTCGAATGAGATTCAGGCCAAGGACTTGACCAAATATGAATTTATTTCAAATAAAAATACAGATAAACACTTGACTGATACTGTCCTAATAGATGTTCATTTATATAGCCCTTGAATTTTACCTTTTATTGATGCTTATTTCACTACACTCCATTACTGTAATATTATTAAATAAGATTTATTTTATGCTTATTTTTTTTGTATAGAATTTTATCAGGAGTTGTAAGAAAATTAAAAATAAAACAAATGCAAATTCTGCCATAGGGGAGTTTGTAATTTAACACAAGATTCAGACACTATATATAAATATATACATAATCTTACTAGAAGACCTGAAATGGCTGAGGGAAGAATCTCTGAGCACAGATATTATTATTATAAACCTCTAAATTGAGACATCAAGTAGAACAAAGACTGACAAAATCAAAATAGCATAGTCAATGACTGTGAAATGAGTACACGAGAAGTAGCATGCATATAATGGCATACTGACAGAAAATAAAACAAACAACCCCCCATGAAAAACAGAAAAAAAAAATCTATGAAATAATGCCTGAAAATTTCTCAAATTAAAATCAGACACCAGAGCAAGAAAGATCCACAGAGAACATCGAGCAGCAGAAATGTTCCTAACAAACTAAAGACATCAAAATTTCATATACGCATATTTTTTAAAGATTTATTTTATTTGTATAAGTGTTTTGTCTGAACGTATGTATGTGTACCACATGCATGCCACCGTAGTTCAGAAAAGGGTGTTGGAGCCCATAGAACTGAAGGTATTCATGGTTGTAAGCTATGGGGTTTTCTGCAATGACAATGAGTGATCTTAACCACTGAACCATTCCCTAGCCCCAAATTATGCATATTTTAAGCCAAAGAAAATCAAAGTTAAAGAATAAATACTAAAAAAATCTGGGAGTTGAAGAAGAAAATTCACTTCATGCACAGAAATAAGAATGGCTTCATGCTTAAAGCATATCCGAACTTGCATGAAATTTGTCTTATGCAGCCCAGCACAGCAAAAAAATTTAAAAATCTAAAAAAAAAAAAGAATTACATCTTTTCAGAAACCATGGAAACAAGACACATGGCAAAAAACTAAACAGATGAGAGGGGGAAAAATACAATACAATACAAACAAACAAACAAAAAAACGCCACTACTTTAGAATTCTGAACCTAAAAATTATTCTTCTAAAGTGATGAAAGAAGTAGTCATAATTTTCTCAGACAAAAAAAATTGTGTTTCAAAGTCTTGCTGAATATCAAATACCAAAAAGAAGTTTGGAAGTGAAGACAATAACCATTATAGAAGTAAAGTGAGTCTAACTGAAGCAAAAAAAAAAAAAAAAAAAAAAAAAAAAAAAAAAAAAAAAAAAAAAAAGAAAAGAAAAAGAAAAAGAGACAAAAATGATACAGAACAAGAACAGTAAACAAAATAGTAACAAACATGTTAGCTGGTAATCCATCAATAATCACTTTAATATTAAAAGTATAAATGTATCAGTTATAATGCAACAGGATTAAACCATGCACTGTTTAGAAAAGGTCATTTAAAATACAGAGATGAAAGGCAAATGAACTGTGAAGATGTAAGTCGCCAACACCAGAGAAACTACATTCATCTCAGACAGAGCAGATGCCAGAAAGAAGGTACTAAGATCAGCAAAGTAACAATAATAAAAACATAAATGTCCCCAAAGACAACAAATTCAGTGTATGTAAACCTAACAAGACCATCAAAGAACACAAGGCAAAACTGATAAACTGCCAGAAGACGGCTCTGCTATGGTGTCATAACTGAAAACTGTTTAAGTCTGTTATCAGAAACAGACAGATCACACAGGCAGGAAGTCAGAAACCATAGTAAAACAATCAACTGAACATAACTGACATCTATGGAGTTTTTCGTTTTATAAGAGCAGAATAAATTCTTCTGAAGGTCTACTGAAATTTCCATGGATAGAAAGATTCTACGCCATGAAACCTACTGTAACAAATTTAAAAGAATAGAAATCATGTAATGATTGTTTTCAGACAACTATGGAATTAAACTATAAATGAGTAAAAGAAAGATGACTGACAAATGTTTAGATTACATAATATACATTTTTTTTTAACTGAAAAAGAAAAGGCTTATTGACTTATGTGTGTGTGGTTTATGTACAGGTCAGAGGAAAATTGTGGTAGTCATCAATTGCGCTCCTGCGGACAGAGCTTAGACCCTCATCCTTGGCAGCAAGCATCTTTATCTACTGAGCCATCTTGCCAGCCTAATAATATACTTCTAAATAGCATATGAGTCAAGAAGGAATTATGTAATTAAAAGAACACTTTAACTAAATGAAAATGAGATCACATCTAAATTTGTGAAATGCAGTAAAAACAGTAGAA